ATGTACTGCTGCAGATGGTGACATGCAACCAGTGCATCTCACAATGTGATATAACTAATGTACTGCTGCAGATGGTGACATGCAACCAGTGCATCTCACAATGTGATATAACTAATGTACTGCTGCAGATGGTGACATGCAACCAGTGCATCTCACAATGTGATATAACTAATGTACTGCTGCAGATGGTGACATGCAACTGATTCTATAATTTTGTTGTCTGACAAGATATCATAACGGTATATGACCAAAATATCAAGTCATCATATATTTCATTAAATATTTATCAGTGTTCTTCCCAGAAATATTGCATACAGTATCGGTCAGTTTACATAACAAAAGCTATGTTTATGAATATTGTATTCATTTAATTAGATATATTGTTTATCCAAAATTTTACAGTTGGGAACCCCTACTCCATAATTCCCTGGAAAGAACCCTGTTTATAATTGTTAGACCCATTATGTTTTTACATACTGTATTTGCTCTATTGGGAACCCCTACTCCATAATACCCTGGAAAGAACCCTGTTTATAATTGTTAGACCCATTATGTTTTTACATACTGTATTTGCTCTATTGGGAACCCCTACTCCATAATACCCTGGAAAGAACCCTGTTTATAATTGTTAGACCCATTATGTTTTTACATACTGTATTTGCTCTATTGGGAACCCCTACTCCATAAAGCCCTGGAAAGAACCCTGTTTATAATTGTTAGACCCATTATGTTTTTACATACTGTATTTGCTCTATTGGGAACCCCTACTTCATAATACCCTGGAAAGAACCCTGTTTATAATTGTTAGACCCATTATGTTTTTACATACTGTATTTGCTCTATTAGAAATGTTTATGGTCAAAATAAGACTTATTTCAATGATTTTGCTTTATGTGTATTAAAGATGTGCTTCTAATTATAGAATAAATACAGTATTTCTTGTCTGTACTTCATGCCTCCAATACCTTCAGCACACAGAAGTTCTTTCTAAGCTTTCTTTAATTATTCTATTACATTTGTATGCCTTCAATTGCATACCTTGTGAAAAACATTCACATGCTCAGAAAGTTGGTTTGGAACAATTTTAATTATTTCTTATCAAAACTCATTTACAGTATTGTAATATTATTACAAAAATAAACAAATAAAAACATTTTATTTTTGTATTTACAGTCTCTTATATATGCCCCAAACATTCCCTGGAATTATTTCAATGTCTGCAGGCATGTGTACAACACTACAATAAAGAATTGTTTTTGACATTGTGAAACTCTTTCGTTTTTTGGTACAAAAAACCCTGAAATAACTGATTTTGACAAGATAATTCAGAAATTTATGTTAATAATTCATAAAGTGTTTCCCTATGCTCCCATAAATAATTTTCATAATTATCGATTACACAAGAATATTACAGAAAAAATTTGCCATATTCTCTACTTTATATATATTTTTGCCTTTTATTTGTCTTGAATTATGACTGAAAGAAGCTGAATGAAATTACAAACTATGTAGTGTGTTCAACAACTCATGTATGAACAATAACTTTAAATAAATACTATTTTACTTGGTAAAAAACATAAAAACGAAAGAATTTACAATGTCGAAAAAAGAAAGTCTTTATTGCTGTGTTATGCATATAATTACCGTACAGTGTATTCGATGAAAAATATTAAACCGCATCCAGCTATAAGTTTATTATTTTGATGAATCCTTCCCTAATCTGATTAAAGCACTGATCCGGCTTTAACTTATTTGACGTAATCCTCACACTCCTTTAGAGAGCTCATCGAAATCAAAAATTTCTATTGGTTTCTGCCTTGCTGTTCGGCATCGCTTTTCACAGTCAAATATAAGTGGTTCTGTGAAATATAAAAAAAAAAATTTTAAACAAATCATAACTCTGCTGTGATGGGCCAGTGTATTAATTAAGTGATGAAATATGCCTTGCATAGTATGATTCTGAACATCAAAACTAGAATCACAACAGTTTTGATATTACTATTCAGAGTGTTACAAAAATTGCTGAATAGAAGCTTGACATAGTGGGGGGGGGGGGTACTTTGGTAATGATATTTGCTTGCATACTTTGATTTGTAAAACATAAGCAGAGGAAATATTTACTCACCCAACATCCTTGCTTGACTTGACTTGAAAGCAGCCATTTTAAATTACCCACAATTCATCATGTTTTTTCTTGACCAAAGTGTTTCTATGCTTGAGTATGCGTTTATTTTTTTCGACATAGTGTTTTTTTTCTCGACACTCCGTTTATTTTACTCGATTATTGTGTTTGCGTTCTTGAGTGCCCTCTCTATGGTACCCCTGTATTCAAAGAACACCGTCCCAGGTGGTGTACTTCTTAATTCATTTTTTTAAGGAAAAAATGTATCAAATTTCAGATTAGCTCCTGCAATAGTTTCTTTCATGTTGGGTAGTCCAACTGCCGGTGTTGAAAGTCGGCGTAGGTGGATTTTTTCAATAATTTTTTTGATGGATCAATTTACCACAGAATCTTGTACATACCCGAGTAGAATACAGTGTTTGTGTGTGATGACTACCTGCTTGAATCTGTTCACAGACTCCTTGGATACCACCCACATGATCACTATGCCAATGTGTTATTAGTATTTCTTGAATATGAATTTTATGTTCTTGTAATGTCTTCTTCAAGTTTGTAAGATAATCTGGAATATTTGGTTCACCAGTGTCGATTAAAATTCTCCTGAAAATATCAAAGTATTGGTCAATATATATTGACTATATATCACTATACTTGTGTATTGAGATTTCTAACACACTGTACCTATCTATCACCTCACCCATGTGTGCCCTAATTTTACCAATGTGTCACCTACTGTTACCTATGTGTCACCTAGTGTTATCCATCTGTCAGTTGTGTGTTACCTAGTGTTACCCATCTGTTACTTAGTGTTACCCCTCTGTCATCTAGTGTTACCATGTATCACCTAGTGTTACCCATTTGTCATCCATGTCACCTAGTATCATCCATGTGTCACCTACTGTTACCTATGTATCACCTAGTGTTATCCATCTGTCAGTTGTGTGTTACCTAGTGTTACCCATCTGTCACTTAGTGTTACCCCTCTGTCATCTAGTGTTACCATGTATCACCTAGTGTTACCCATTTGTCATCCATGTCACCTAGTATCATCCATGTGTCACCTACTGTTACCTATGTGTCACCTAGTGTTATCCATCTGTCAGTTGTGTGTTACCTAGTGTTACCCATCTGTCACTTAGTGTTACCCCTCTGTCATCTAGTGTTACCATGTATCACCTAGTGTTACCCATTTGTCATCCATGTCACCTAGTATCATCCATGTGTCACCTAGTGTTACCCATCTGTCACCTAGTGTTATTAATCTGTCAGTTGTGTGTTACCTAGTATTACCCATCTGTCACCTAGTGTTACCCCTCTGTCACCTAGTGTTACCATGTATCACCTAGTGTTACCCATCTGTCATCCATGTCACCTAGTGTCATCCATGTGTCACCTAGTGTTACCCATCTGTCACCTAGTGTTATCCATCTGTCACCCATGTGTCACTTAGTGTTACCATATATCACCTAGTGTTATCTATCAGTCACCTAGTCTTACCCATTAGTCACCCATGTGTTACCTAGTATTACCCATGTATCACCTACTTTTACCAATCTGTGATCCAAGTGTAACCTAGTGTTACCCACCTGTCACCTAGTGTTACCCATCTATCACCTAGTATTACCCATGTATCACCTAGTGTTACCCATCTGTCACCCGTGTGTTACCTAGTGTTACCCATGTGTTACCTAGTATTACCCATGTATCACCTAGTATTACCCATTTATCACCTAGTATTACCCATGTATCACCTAATGTTACCCATCTGCCACCCATGTGTTACCTAGTATTACCCATGTATCACCTAGTGTTAACCATCTGTCACCTAGTGTTACCATGTATCACCTAGTGTTACCCATGTGTTTCATAGTGTTACCCATCTGTCACCCATGTGTTACCTAGTGTTACCCATCTGTCACCCATGTGTTACCTAGTATTATCCATGTATCACCTAGTGTTGCCCATCTGTCACCAATGTAATGAACAAAGCACTCCTGCTATACTGTAAATTTTAATGCAACAAATAATTTGATTCAACTCAGCCAATTGGCAATGGAGGATATTCTTCTCTCTTTCTGCAGATTTGTACTTGGCTTTTCTAAATACAAAAATATCAATCTATGGTGAACTGAGGAGATACCGGGTTGACATATTCATTAAAAAAAGATTAATAAAATCAAACATGTCATTAGATTTAGTAATTCATCAAATACATTATTAGAGCATGTATACACTGATAATAAAAACAGCAAGAGCTAATAGTTTCAAAGAATTGAGAAATTGCTGAGTAGTAATTATTATGACTAAATTATATCTTCAAGTGAGATTCTTTCAACATCATGCATAAATAACGAAATTAAATAAATTATTTGAAAAGCAATGAGAAAATGATTTACATAATGACAATAGAAAGAAAATTGAAAAAAATCAAACAAGATGCTCAAATTATTAAATGTAGAAAAACTGGTTAATTTGTATTTTCTGAAGCAACTGGTTTGAGCATTTTAATAAGTTACTTATCATTGTCTTAAAATTGAAACTGGCAGATATAAACAGATCAGGGTTAACTCTAGCACATCCGACCAAATGTACACAAAACAAAGATGGAGATGAAAAACACTTTCTAATGACTATAGGGCAAATAGACTGCATTTATTTAACAGAGCAGAAATTTATATTAATAACTTTGTAGCCAGCAGTGTCACTGATAAATTTATTTCTATTATGAAAAACAAACATATGTCACTTCCCATAGCTCAGTTCATTAAAACCAGTCTTACAGTAATACTACACAGTAACTATGTTTTAGAATGAGTTAGAAGCTTTGTGAATTTGTTGTTTTCTTTCTTATGTTGTGTATGACACACACACACACGCACGCACGCACGCACGCACGCACGCACGCACACATACTTGTATTGCAATATGTTCCGAGGACTTCATTGGATTAACTTTTAATATAGTTGAATTAACTTTTAATATAGTTGCGATATGACCTCGATTAAAACGCGTTCCTATATAGGGTTGCGTTTTAATTGGAGTTTAA